TGCCTCAGCCTCCTGAGTAACTGGGACAATAGGCACGTGCCACCACACCCGGCTAATTTTATTTTTATATTTTTAGTAGAGATGGGGTTTCACCATATTGGCCAGGCTGGTCTCAAACTCCTGACCTCAAGTGATCCACCCACCTCATCCTTCCAAAGTGCTGGGATTACAGGCATGAGCCACCGTGCCCAGCCAGGTGTGAATCTTTTTGTTTTTTTCCTACTTGGGATTTATTGAGGTTCTTGGATCTGTAGATTAATATTTTTTATCAAATTTAGGAAGTTTTATCCATTATTTCTTTACATATTTTTTTCTGCTTTTTTTTTTTTCTTCCTCAGAGACTCTTATTATATGTATGCTGGTGTGCTTTATGTTGTTCCACAATTCTTTGATGCTCTGTTTTTTACTTTAATTTTTTTACCTCAGTTCTTTGTATTAGATAATTTCTATGGGTCCATTTTCTTTTTTGTTGTTGTTGTTTGAGACAGAGTCTTGCTCTGTCGCCCAGGCTGGAGTGCAGTGGCGCTTTCTCGGCTCACTGCAACCTCTGCCTCCTGAGTTCAAGCGATTCTCTTGCCTCAGCCTCCTGAGTAACTGGGACAATAGGCACGTGCCACCACACCCGGCTAATTTTATTTTTATATTTTTAGTAGAGATGGGGTTTCACCATATTGGCCAGGCTGGTCTCAAACTCCTGACTTCATGATCCACCCACCTTGGCCTCCCAAAGTGCTAGGATTACAGGCGTGAGCCACTGCGCCCGACCTCCATTTTAAAATTCATTGATTGTTTTGCCATATAGAATCCCTTGTTTAGCTCTCTGGTGAGTTTTTCATTTGTTATTTTATCCTTCAACTGCAGTATTTCCATTTGGTTCATTTGAAGTAATTTCTACTGATAATTTGATTCATTGTTGTTACGCTTTCTTTTAACTCTTAAAACATTGTTTCTTTTAGTTTTTTGAATGTATTTGTATCTGAGTTGAAATCTTTATTCTCTAAAGCCAACATTTGGGGACATTCAGAGAGTGTCTGTGAATTGCTTTTTTCCCCCTAGGGCATACTTTCCTGTTTCTTTCTATATCTTACGATTTCTTGTTGAAAATTCAATATTTAGATAATATTCTGTACCAATTCTGGATACTGATAGCCCCCTCCCCAAAAAAAGTTGCTAGCTTTTTTGTTTATTTGTTGGTTTTGTATTATCTTACTAGGGATAGATCTGTGAAATAGTCTCTATCTGTGGTCATTGATTTCATTGCTCAGTGTTTGTTTTTTTGTTTGTTTGTTTTTGTGGTGGTTTTGTTGTTTTGTTTTGTTGCAGCCTGGCTTTCCAGAGATTGCTTCTGTGTTTGCTTAGCTGAATCTTTAGCCAATGATTTGACAGAGATGGTGCTCAAAAACTTCAACTCTGTAAGGCTTCTTTCCTCTACTGATGGATCTGTGTGTAGGTAGGGGAGTACATTTACTGTTTAGGCCTTTTTCAAGTCTGTTCCAGCTTTTACTTTCTGTTGGGGTCTTTTTAATCTTTTATGTGCATGCACACAGCCAGGCATGTGTGATTAGCATGAGGCTTTTCTAGTGTCTGCTGTGCCTGTGAACAGCCTTAGCAGAAATTAGTTTGCCCTACTCAGGACTGTAACCTCAGGCTAGTAGAACTGAATAGTTGGCCCTCTGCCACTACCATCTTTGGAAGTCACTTCCAATGACAGTGCTACTGGGCCTGGGCATTGCCCACATCTCCAACGGAAAGTGAATGTTCTTGGACTATGCAGTTATAACCTGGTCTGCCCTGGTGGAACCGCCACACTTCTGGAGTTGGGGCTGGGATGGATGGGAGCATCCCTTACCCAGAATGCCAGAGATTCTATTTTTAACCCAAAGTTCAGGAGTTTATCAGTCATGAACACTTCTCAGTATTTTGTTGACCTTTGTTGGATTTCCAGGGAACTGAAATGGTTTTTGTCAATATTGTCCAGATTTATAGTTGCTTTTTGGGGAGAGGATTTGCCAGTCTTCTCTCTCTGCCATACCTGGCAGTCTGCTTATAATATTTTTAAAAAGATAAAAGACAGATTATTCTGGGCTATAATAAAAGATGCATTAGAGAAAGCAAGACTGGGCGCCCAAAAAGCAATGAGGAAGACTTGTAAAGGATTGGTAAAGGTAAGAGAATATGGTGCCTAAGTGAAAGCAGTGGTTATGAGGCTAAGGAACAGAGGGTTTAATGGAAAGAACTTCTTGAATCCTGATACAGTTTGTTTTCCATTTTACCATACTGCTTCTCACGGAGTGGGGAAAAGATTTTATGTTTAGTCAGGTATCAATCCTTGGTCTCCCTATCCCAAGGAAAAGTATCAAGTTGATCTTGTTGTAGGGTGAGCATAGTCTTCCTACTGGGACAGAATGCTTGGTGAACATGCACTGGCTACCATCTCCTCTTTGGGTTGGGTTGTCACATTTCAGTGGCCATTTTCAATCTGTTTGCATTATATCATTCTGAGCTGCCCAGAGCCTTGAGTTTTGATTCCAGTACCTAGTCATTTTCTTCTTCACTATTTTTCCTTGACCTTAAAACTTCTATTTGATCAGGCAGCAGCCACCCAAAATTGCCTTAGGATATAGTCTTATCCTTGACCATCTTAGCTGAACCTTGGAGCCTTCCCAAGGTGGTTTTTTAACTGGCCTATCTGTAATGAGAGCTGGTTTTGATCATGTTGAAGATATGATAAAGCAAACAAACTTTTATAGGGTGTGAAAAAAACCATCAGACCCACTAATTTTTACTGTAGAATGTAGGCTAATGGTTTAAGTCAGTTAATAGTACAGTTCTTTGCCATTTTGGTATCTTCCTTCACAATCCTGTTCCCATTATCTCCACTTTTTCAATTGTTGAGTGCTGCATCATTTAGATATTTCATTCCAGTTTATACTACTGTTGGATAAGACGTATTCATTTAGCAATCCTATACTGAGCACTTTCTAATCATCTGGCCAACATCATTATCATAGCTAATATTTGAGTATTTTAAAAATGAATTTTACATAGCTTTATCTCATTTAACCTCACACTAACACTAAAGTAAGTACTAATACGGGCTGTATTTCATATCTGAGGAAACTGAGAGTTAATATCTTACCCAGAACTCATAGTTTGTAAGTGATAAAGGCATGATTTGATCCTCAGCTAGTTGATTCCAAAATGTCAGTTTTTAAGTATTATTCTATCCTGCCTGGTAAAACAGACAATTCAACATAAAACCTTAACAATTGGAGAGAATTATAAAGTAGCCAGTGATACTGTGTTAGTACTTCTAATGAAGAAGAAATAGAAAAAAGAAGGAAAATCAAACTAAAAATTGATATCAGTGGAAAAGTACGTAAAGTATATTCCAACAGAGGACATTTGAGATCTGTCACTAGAAGAACAATTGAGGAAGTCGCAAGAAGAACGAACTTACAAAGTAGTTACAGACAAAGACGTTTCCATGTATTTATTCCTTATTGTCATCCGGTAGTATGCTAAGAATATACACCTTTAAGCAAATGCCCAGATTGCAAGGATGTAATCCAGGGTACTATTCATACATTTCCATAATAAAGAAAACCCAAACTGGTAGATGAATTTATATAGAAACACCTTTAAAATATTGTTGAACAGTTGATGCTATCTGAAGTTAAGATGTAGGTTCTTAAATTAGTAACATTTGTGTTCTACAGTGTTTTGGTTCTAGTATCTTGTTTTCAAAAAAGTAGACAGTATTATAGATTATAGTTAATATTCTTTGCCTATTTGCAGTAGAAAACTTGCCTGTGATGAATATTTTTGTATTTAAGGCAGTGGAGATGGTGTATTAGTATATATGTTTGAACATATGAGGAATAAAAGTGCTATTCATACAACATTTCAGGAAGTAATAAATTTGGTACTCTTTCTGAAAGCTTTGAGTACTCTATCAGATTATACTTTAAAAGAACTGAGAACAAGGAACCCTTGAGTTTGTTAGAGTCATAGGTGCAAATTTTTTTTGGTGCTTTTCACTATTCTGTTATAAAACAGGAATTTGTATTTTATTGCCATTGATTAAAAAAACCTTTTCTCTAATTTGTGAGAAACATCTTAATAAAACACTTTAAAAAGAAAAAAATGTATAGATTACATCACTGTTCTACTCACAGTACTCCAGTGGTTTCTTATTCTAGGTCTAAACTCCAAAGGTATTATTACCGCCTCTCTGACTTGACGTAATCTGGTTCCCAACTAACTTTCTGACCTTGTTTCTTTCCTTACTTCCCCTTACTGACTTTGTTACAGCCACATAGGTAGAATTCTTAAGGGTTGTGGGAACACACCAAGCATGTTTCTGTCTCAGAGTCTAACTTCTTCCATCTGCCAGGAATATCCTTTTCTCAGCCCCATGGCTTGCTCCCTTAATTCATTCAGGTCACTGTTATAATGACATCTCATTAGAGAGGCTTACCCATGCCTATGGTATCTAAAATAGTGTCTCCCCACCCCCTCAACCAATCTCTGCTCCTATGTGGAGCAGAGACTTTGGTGATTGTTTTTTACTCTATTCTCTTCTAGAATGTAAGTTATAGAACCAGAGGCTTTATCCGTTTTATTCTTTATTTAGCCCCAGAGCCTAGAATGGAGCCTGGCACACAGTGAATGGATGGATGGATGGCTAGATGGGTAGATGGATGATGAATTGTGGAATGTGTGGCTTTTGTTTGAAACAGAGATTTGTGATTATTAGACATAATGATAATTTAATTGATTCCTTACATCTTTCTAGCTCTTTACCATTTTCAGTGATTTTATGTTCACTTTGCCTCATTTCATCCATTTAATGGCCCTCTGAGGTAGGCAGAAAGCTGTAGTCATTATCCCTATTTTATATATTAAAAATGTGAGACTTAACTTAGACCCTTGTCCAAGGACACAGGGCTAACAAGTAAAAATCTAGGTAATAACCTAGACCTTTCTCTCTCTGACAGATGTTATTATCACTGCCCAAAGCTATCACCTATGGAAGACAGAATCTTTTACTGAGGAAGGTGATGAAATCCCCTTCTCTACAGTTTTATAAAGCAAACAAACCTAGTGTTTATAGTATACATCAGGGGAGCTCCAGGGCTACCTGATGATGAAGAGCCTTGCTGAGTCAACTTTATTCCCACGTTAGGTTTTTAGTTAAATTTTGTTGACTAGTGGGGAGAAAATAAATTAGAGCAGAAAAATATCGAAATACATATTTTGACAGGGAAAGAACCTCTCTTGAGTTTTGGAACTGAAAATGATTTAAGGTCATCCCTCAAATTACAACACTCCTCTTCCTTCACATTCCTCAGGTGATTAAACTTCAAACCAAGAGGACAGATTTATTGCCTGTGGTCACCACAACTGCTTATATATGCCCAGCACTGTCAGTTTTTAAGTTATGCTTTGTGCTGGAGGCCCTGTTAAAGTCTATGAGAGTGCCAGTTTTTCCTACTTTTGTATGTCAACTGTGGTAAAAGACAGTCTTCCACAGTCAGTAGCTCTAGTATATTATTCCTTAGTTCTTCCATTTATCCCGTTATTCTGACTCTTGACCTTCCTCTTAAGAGGCTCCAGGTGTCAGGCAGGAGGGGCTCTCATCCTCTGTCTATCTCCTATACCAGATGGTCACTACTTTAGGACATGGACCATCTTTTTCATCTTTGTACATTTATGTCAACAGTATCAGTCTTACTGAGCACAAAGTAGGTGCTCTGAAAATACCTAAAACTATTGAATTATATCAGTATATATTAAAAGATCCCCATTGCCTCTCTGGTTCTTTGCTGACCAAATGATAGAATCATTTGGTCTCTATCAAAAATCTCATGTTTTGGAGGCATTTTGTCTCTTAATTCTGTGTAATAAACAGTAATGGTATGCTATTTTTGCCTGGACCTGCCCTAAAACCTGCCACTCTTGGCCCAGCTCTGTTACAGTTTGCATGGGGAAATCAGGTTGTCACAGATTGTGAGCAGATCTAATTAGTGATAAGTTCCATTCCAGGGTAGGGCAGAAGCTTAGGGAAATAGTATCCAGTCTGGGGAGAAATTCATTGTTCTCTTCAGACAACATGATCCTGATGCTGATGTTCTTTATCTTCAGGTTGAGGTGAGGACCCCTGGTGACGTAATGGGTCCAGGAAATTTTTGCAAAGAGAGGAAAAGGACAGGGCAAAAGCCTGTTTAGACTGCCATTTACCATATCAGGAGAGAGTAAGAAATTATAATGATGAATTTTGAAAAATTAGAAACTTTTGATCCCTTCCCTACATTTCATACTTTATTTCCTATTCAGTATGGAGAGCAAAATTCATAGAATAAGAAGGTACTGTGAGCTTGTCTTCAGGGGTTGGGTCGGGGGAGAGGTAGGTAGAAAAACTGTAAGCTAGCTTCCCATTCACAGTTAGGCTTTGGGTGGGAGAAGGAAGCTCCAAGGGATTGAGTGGATAGTGATGGCTAAGAGAAGAGGGAGAAACAGATTGAGTTTCTGAGACTAGCTACACGGAGGTGAGAGCTTGGAGGCTAATGTGGATTTCAGAAGGGGTATCAGGTTGGGGTTTCTCCCTGGGGGGTTTGGTGATCCTGATAGTTAAGTTCCATGGCAGCTGGACCAGATGCATCTTGCTCTTCTTCTTTGCACAGAATGTGAAGGCTGTGTCTGAGACTCCTGCAGTGCCACCAGTTTCAGAAGATGAGGATGATGATGATGATGATGCTACCCCACCACCAGTGATTGCTCCACGCCCAGAACACACAAAATCTGTGAGTCTTTGGGACCTGGACAGTTTTGTGATTTATTAGAGTAAGTGGGGAGAGGGAGGAGTTGGTGCTAAGACCTAGAAATTTAATATTCTGGTAGGGGTCCTTAGATTTTGGAGCTGGTGAAATCACTGAACTACCTTGACTAAAGGTACTTTCTGTATGATTAAAGACAAAAAATGGTGTATTTATTTATCATCGGTTTGCAGATAGTCCCAAAGTGTCCTATGTAATTGATGTTTATACCAATCCAGTCTTGGTTTGCTTAGCCTGTTCTCCACAGATAGGACAGGAAGATACACAGGATTGATGCTACTTAGTGCAGGACAAACATAAATTATTCCAGTCTCCAGGGAAGCAACAAATTGTCTTGCTACAGATCTTTTCTTCTCTGTTAAATATGCAGCATTGAGCCTCTTAGAGCATTATCGATAATACTGAAAGACCCAAGAGAATTTATAAATACATTAGCGCTATTAATATGCTGGGCATCAGGAGTGCATTTTGATGCCGGATGTTGACAATGATTTCTGTTTAACTTTCTTTGAGGTTCCTGCATCTGAGAATAGCCATAGTCCCTCTACCCTTGCTTTGAAAAATCTAGTCCCCGTGCCTTTTACTTAATTTGGCATCACGGAGCACTGACCTGCCATCAGATGATACTCTACTAGTGTTTGTTTATTTAGGTCCATAATGAAGAAACCATCTAGCACTTCTGTGATCTTGAAAATAAATAAATAAATAAATAAATAAATAAATAAATAAATAAGGGCTACCTCTGGAATACGGCATTCAGGGAGGTGTTCGAACAGAAATTGGTTGAGTGACTATTGGAGATGCTGTGGAGGAAATTCAAAGGAATTATATGACCTTTTAAGATGAGAACTTATAAACAGAATCTGTGGAATCATTTTCTCTGTAGGTCACAAAGTTACCTTAAGGGAAAATGGGCTTCAAAATTGGAGAGTTGTTAACACTGATATGTTTTTTTTTATTTGTAGGCATGTTCATTTAAAACATTTTTTTCCCCACTAAACCATGAACACCTCAAAAAGTAGAGGAAATCCATATATATGTATTTCTAGTGTTTAACATAGTTCTTGGCACCTGCAGAGGTAGGTAAATATCAGAGGACAGTAAATATTGAATTAATTAATTAATTAATTGATCTTCATAGCGTTTCTTTCTAAAAGGGTATTGTTAATTCCTAATTTATAGAAGAAGCATCTGAGATTTGGAGAGGTGAATTGATCTGCCCAATCTCTTAGTAAACTAAAGAGCCAGGATTTGAAAGCAGGTAATTAACGCCAACTCCAGGTTGTTTTCCACCATAGCACAGTGGTATTTTTGTGTGTACAAACCTGTGCTAGGAGCCAGAGAAGGAGACTATTAGAGAAGGAAAAGGCAAAGTTTCTGTCTTCAGAGAGACATATCAAGACAGTCAAAAGAGGACAGGGCATGAAAGTATAGGTTTAGATACCTGGGATATAGTTTGTCTACAGGTACAAGAATAGAAAATTGAGAAATCATTATACTAGAGTAGTAATCAGGAAAGAAACCATCACCTCTGATCTCAGTGTCTTGGCTTATTGCTGTTCCCACTACTGGAAAGTTCTCTCCCATTTCCGCCTATTAAAAGCCTCTCCAGTCAAAAGGTAGCTTGGTCAAGCAGTCGAAGGTGCAGGATTTAGTAGGCTTTAGTCTCTGTGGAGCCATGGGTTTGAGTCCCACTGCTGCCAATGGCTTTGCATCATCCAGATAAATGATCATCATAGATAAATGATCCTCCGTTCTTTGCAGAAACCTATCCATCCTTCAGGATCTAGCTGCAGGATCCTGTTTGTTTATTTATTCCATCAAATATTTACCTGAATGCTTGCTTTTTTTTAGTAGGTGGTTAGATGGAGAAACTCAGGGATCAATGACCCACATTCCCTGTCCTTATACAGTTTATGGACTATCCAAAAGATAATTGTGATATTTTTATGATAAAATCTGATAAATACCTTGAAGCATCTCCTAGGAAAAAGTATAACTTATGATACTTCTGTACCTCAGTAGTATATAGCTTGCTCATTTTTTTATAACGTGTATCACTTTCTGCCTTGTAGTTATGATTTTCTCACCTCCTTTATGAGAATGAGAGGATGGGGCAGCATTTTGTACAGGGTGAGGCAACAAGTAGATTCTCAGTAAACGTTATGTAAATTAATGAATAGGACATTTAATATTTTTAAAAGGTAAAGTTTGAGTGCTTAATGTCTGCTGGGGATGATTCTGATTACCTAACATATTAATCAGTTTACTCCTACAGCAACCCCAAAGATAAGTATCATTATTATCACCATGTTATAGATGAGGAAACTGAAACACAGAGAAGTTAAGTAACCTGCCCAAAGTCAGGCAGAAGGTAAGAATAAGAGCTGGGATTTTAGTTCAGGCAGTCAGGTCCCAGAGTCTATGTTCTAAATCACCACACTCTACTGCCTCTTGATGAAGAACAAAAGTAGTTCCTTCCCTGCAAGGGTTCAGGATGTAAGGAGGGAATAACTCAATAGAAGTTGGTGTTGTGCTAGTAATGCAAAGTGCTGTGGGAATACAGGATATTTCTTTTAGCTTGGGGAAGCATAAAATATTATAGATGAAGGGGATCCTTATCTAATAGAATTGTCTTTAACTAATTTCTTTTGATAATTGTCTAGCCTCTATTGAATATCTTTAGTGCTGAGACTCACTTCTTTTGTTTACAGTGAGAGTAAGGAAGGCCATTTTACCCAGAATGGATGGGCCTGGGCACAGAGGAGGAGTAATAGAGATTTTGACATGGGAGAAAGGATGAATTTATTGGGGTTTGCTCTGTGGATGTTCTAACCTCACATCTAGGAGAGGTTCCCCTGTGCTGACAAAGGCTGGTCTTGCCAAAATTTTGTCCTAATAATGCAGGTATACACACGGTCTGTGATTGAACCACTTCCTGTCACTTCAACTCGGGACGTGGCTACATCTCCCATTTCACCTACTGAAAATAACACCACTCCACCAGATGCTTTGACCCGGAATACTGAGAAGCAGAAGAAGAAGCCTAAAATGTCTGATGAGGAGATCTTGGAGAAATTACGTAAGGAATTTGTCACTTTCTGAACCTTTCTTTGCTTTATGACTGGTCAAGCACAGAGATTTCCTGGTCGTAGGCTTGGTCCATGCAGCTGGCTGGCCATGCTTGGTACCTTAGCCTCAGACTGCTTCTCCACCCTGCCTCTGCACCTGTGTTCCCCATCTCACAGCCCTGGTTGGATACTGTGTTAGGATGGGGATGTGGTGAGAGAGTGTAGATAGCTCACTTTGAGGGCAGGGTACCCCTCACCCCTCGGCATGTGTTATAGAGATGACAAATAGTTTTTCTCTAATGAATTGTCTAGAATGCCTTGCTTGAGAAAGACTGAGGACCTAGTGGAAAAGGGCGCTGTGATTGATTATTGATGTTTTGCCATTGACCTAGGAGAAGACAGATCTGCCATCTTGGTTGTAGGAAAAGAGGGAAGGGAAGTTAACATTTTATGTATCAAATGACAAGCAAAATATTTTCTTGATTTTTAAAAAATTTAATTCTCTTATTAACCCTGAGAAGAAAAGTGTTGTGATCCTAATTTTTGCTATTAAGATAATCTGAGGCTCAGGGAGGCTAAATATCCTGCCCAAAATCACACAGCTAAAAAGTGACAGGGCTGAGGTTAGAACACAGTTTTTGTTCCTGTAAGTAGAGCATACTGCCTCTTGCTGTCAAGTGGAAACTTCCATTTTACTTTCTTTAGCTGCCAGAAATGGGGGTATGTTAGGGTAGCTTATTTCTGTGTTTCAGTAAACTGCAGGAGAATTCATATTAGAAGGAAGAAGTAGGTTGATCTATGGGCTTGGAAGAATCATTTGACAAGGGCTTTAATTTATTCACTGTGTCTACTTACTTCCAAAAAGGATTCAATGTGACCGATTTGGCGACGTCTGCAAACTGGCATTGCTTTCTGGTTCTCTAGTTCTTCCTGATTAATTCGTATATGACTTTAAAACAAATTTTCACTATTTTAAAAATTGCCCTTTTCTGGATCCCTCATAAAATGACAAAGTAAGAAAAGCCACTTCCCTAGTCATCTGTTTACTCCTGTATGTAGTCTTCTTCTCTAAACCAGAGTTTTGTTTTGTTTTTTTAACAATAACATTTAGAATTATGATTCAGAATTAAGACTTGGCCTGGGAGTTAGGACACTTGAGTTGAAACTTCTGCTCAGCCACTGACTTGTCTTAGGCAATTTTCTACTGTTCTCTAAACCTCATTTTTCTCATTTTTAAAATAGGGATGTTAATACTTGTCTCATTCGCAAATCAAATGAAGTAATATATGTGAAAAGTACCAATTCCTAGTAATTGGGTGTTAATGGAGAGTACAGTGGACCGGGAGACTAAAAATGAAACTCCTAATCTTAGCTCTGACACCAATTTGCTGTGTGACCTTGGGGAAGTATCTTCTTTCCTTCTGTGGGCCTCAATTTCTCCATCTCTAAAATACAAGTTGTAAAACCCAATGGAAAACCTCTATGTTGTTGCGCTTGAAATATTCTTTGTTGTAAATGTCTTCTCTACTTTATCTCTCTGGCTTTTACTTAAAGTAGAAATCAGTCCATATGTTACCTTTCTGAAGCTTTTCCAGTCTTTTTTTTTTTTTTTTGGTGCCTCTTTCTGTACCCCTTTGGTATTTATCATAGCAATTATGTTTTCATGGAACTTTATGCTTACTTATCTGTCTCCTCCATGAAATTGACCTTCTAGAGAGCAGGAACTGCCTTGACTGTGTCATATCTCTTCATTCCTAACACAGCATATGGCTTGGTGCGTATTAAATGAGTAAATATTTACTGATTGTATTAATTAAAACATGAATGACTTTTAGGAGTTTAGAAATGGAATAGCTTGCTGTGAATCAAAGCAGTCTAGGTGATGAAACTTTTGGTTGGGACTTATGGGGGAAAAACTGAGGGCCTCTTTAGAATGCTTTTTGGCTATTGGAGGTAGTTCTTTAACCCATGCCAAATCCAGGGTTCGGGGAAATGTGGGACCTTTTTTGTATCTTGATTTTGGAAAAAATGATTCATGGTCTCTGTTTCTTTCAAAGGAAGCATAGTGAGTGTGGGCGATCCTAAGAAGAAATATACACGGTTTGAGAAGATTGGACAAGGGTTAGTAGGGGCATTTTCTTTCCCTGGAGAAATGACTTTAAAGTGTGTGTGCTGGCATATATGATTTTGCTTTTGTTTTGCCTCTCATAAACCTTGTTCTTCTTTCTCCACTTCACCCCTCACCCATCTGGAGTTGTTATGTTAGAATGACTTCAGATTTGGCAGAATTGCGCTTAATGTGAGAGATGTGCCATTAGCTGACCATGTGGCTAAAAATACCCCTGCAGTGACAGTGAGAGAACGATTTTTTTTCTTAGCACAAAGCCAGCTTCCCAAATTATAACTCTGCTTTTCTGGATGAACCCTGTTTGTCCTAGTACTGAGCTCCAACAGCACTAATATAAAATGGAAGACCCAGAACTACAAACCCTTCTACTAGTGTAATAGGACCTATTTTTCTAGGTAGATGCCGGAATATGTCCATCTGGCATTCATCCTTCTCTGTATTTTGTATGCTGCCCTCAGTGTAATGAATTCACCAAATCTTAACTGAGTTCCTATTGTGTGCTAGGCACTATGAATTCAGAGACAATCTGTGCTTTCAAGGACCTCAAGTCAACAGAAAAAGATAGGCAAACAATTGTATAGTCATATGTTGCTTAACAAAGGGGATATGTTCTGAGAAGTTCATCCTTAGGCAATTTTGTCATGTGAGCATCATAGAGTGAACACAAAACTAAATAGTATAGCCTACTACACTCCTAGGCTATATGATGTAGCCTCTTGCTCCTAGGCTACAAGCCTGTACAGCATGTTACTGTACTGAATACTGTAGGCAGTTGTAACACAATGGTAGTTGTATATCTAAACATAGAAAAGGTATGGTAAAAATACAGCATAAAAGATAAAAAAAAAAAAAAAAGGTGTATTTGTATAGGGCACTTACCATGGATGGAGCTTGTAGGACTGGAAGTTGCTCTGGGTGAGTCAGTGAGTGGTGAGTGATTGTGGAGACCTAGGACATTACTGTGTACACTACTGTAGACTTTATAAACCCTGTACACTTAGACTGTACATTACATTTATTAAAAAACAAAGTAATTGTGCTATGACGTTATAACTGCTACGGTGTTACTGGGTGATAGGAATTTTTCAGCTCCATCATAATCTTATGGGACCACCATCATATGTGGTCCATTGTTGACTGAAACATCGTTATGTGACACATGACTGTCCTGTGTTTTTAAAGTTTGGCTGTTATTTTGAGTGAAAGAAGCCAGATATGAAAAAGCAGATACTGTCTCATTTGATTTATATGAAATTCAAGAATAGGCACAAGTAATATATGATAATAGAATTCAGAATAGTGGTTATTTCTGGGAGGAGTATGTAGAGTGGGAATAGGCATGAAGGAATCTTTGGGGGTATTGACTGTAGTGTCTTTTGAAAGTGTTCGGCCATTTTTTTGAGTGAAAGAAGCCAGATATAAAAGAGCAGATACTATGTCATTCTATTTATGTGAAATTCAAGAACAAGCAAACTAATGTATGATAATAGAAGTCAGAACAGTGTAGTTATTTCTGGGAGGAGGATGCTGAGTAGGAATAGTCATGAGGGAATCTTTGGGGGTGATCTTGATAGTGAACACATGGGTGTGTAGATATATAAAAATCAAGTTGTACACTTAAGATTTGTGCAAATTAAGTTATACCTCTCTATAAAAAATAAAAATAATGAGATTTCTAAAGACCCACCAAAAGAGATAAAAAGAAACTGAAAAATAAAAATGTCTGGCTCTCAGTGTTAGTGGAATGAAAGCTTTGTTGCTAATGATGTCATTGAAATTTTCTTTTTTTTTTTTTTTAATTATACACCCAAGAATTTCCGAAAATAAGATAAAAGATTGCATAATATAGGAAGGTTGTGTTTATACAGCATTCTACAATTCACATCTGTTATTTGCATTTATTGTTTAATCCTCAAAACAACTCTGGGCTTGAGTGGATCTCAGTTTTTTTCTGGTTGCAGTGTTTTTCAGACTAGACATGCTTTTGTGAGTCTGAACTGGTGTAAGGTATTTAACACCTTGAGAAAAAAATTATTTTGCTTACCTCAGAGTAATGTGGGATGGTATTTCCTTTAGGTAGTGAAATTGAGATATTAAGAATATAGCAGAAATGTACATGGACAAGCATAGGCAAGTCAGGTTTCTTCTCTGGACTGGAGTTTCTTCCTGTAAATTTAAGGAAGACAGGTTGTAAATTGAGGGCCTTTTACAAAACTCCAGAACTTTTGTGACTTTTGTTTTGTTTTGTTTTTTAGTTACTGATATATGAGACCTATAAATAGGCAACATCTGCACGATGTTCTTTCCTTGCTTACTTGACAGGTCTGTTAGTGCTAAAGGAAGAATGAAATATTTATTAGGCACCTATGCTGATGTTTCCACACTGCATAATTTTTAAAATATAAATGCCACACCAATATGATGAATTGGTAATACTGTAATTTTTGCTTGCTTTTATTTCTCCTTAAAGACCTGAAGATTATTATTCTTTTGGACTTGGAATTCAGAGTCTAATTATATGTCTATTCAAGTTAGAAATAGGTATTAACCAGTGGGCCTGAGTAGCTTTCTAGAACTTTGTAATCATGGAGACAGTCCCCAAATGTCCAGTGTCCTGAGGCTTGGGCATGTTTGCCCTTTAAGAATAGTACATCTAGTAGGATCAGGAAAGGATGGGGTTAGGAAGACAGATACCAGCTTTATAACAGAAGATAGTTAGGGGCAGGATAATCAGGCAGCGAAGAAATAACTGCCTATGCAAGTCATCCAATCCTTATTTGATAGCCAATATGTTATAATCACAGTTTCCAGGAATGTAGCTAGGGTCCCAACTAGAGAGTGATGGTTAGGGAGCTGGGGACCATAGTTTCTAGCTGCAAGGCATGCTTACATGTGACATTTCCCCCTGGATTGACCTGACTTCTCCAAGAATTATAATCTCAGGGCTTGCCTAGGAAGCAGTCTTGTAATAGAGCAGAATTTTAATTTTCTTCAAATTGCATCATATGTACCCAACATATGGCATGTATAGGTACAAATATGTTTTACAAATTACTTACCTATAAATACACAGGGTTTATGGTTACAAGCATAAAATGAGGGTTTTAGTTATTTTGAATGGATTTAGTTATTTTGAATGAATTATTACTTTACTAGCATTATTTCTGCATTTCTTTCCCCCTTCTCTGTCTGTATATATGAATGTGTGTATAATTACATACATATGTGTACACACGTGTCTAGTGGGGTCATTCTTACCTTGGGGGTGGGGCAGAGGTACCCTCAGATCTTCTGGGAACATATATGTTTGAAAGAGTATATTTCATATCATTTTATGTTTGAAAAATGAAAACTAAAAACCACTTTTATAATACAAACTACAGAAAACAAAATTTACATATCCTATTGATAGAATAAATGATTGAAAACCATTATTTTATTTTAAAGGGTCAAAGTGTATCCTATAATATTAGAGCGGGAAGGGTACTTTGAGATTAGATTATTCAGTGTGGTTCTTCAAGTTTTTATAGTTTTTTACTATTTATAGTTTTTTAATGGAAATTTTCACTAAAGATAGCATATATAGGTATACAACTCAATGAATTTTCAAAAAGTGAACATGCCCATGTAACCAGTACCCAGATTAAGAAAAAGAATATTACTGATACCCCAAAAGTTCATATTGCTTTTTGATAAATATATAAGACATGCTGGCTCACCCCCAAATATATTCTGAAATTCTCTCCAGGACCCCTTTCTCCTCACCTCTCACCCCCTGGTTGAAAATCATAGATCTAATCTTACCCCTTTTATAGATGAAGAGTTTGAAGCCAGAAGAAATTAGAGCCACTTGCCAAGGGTGATGGAGGCGAAGAGAGAAGCAAGCAGGAACAGGAAATTAATATATATTGAACATCCGTTATATGTTATGCAATTGGCTAAGTACTTTACATGAACTAATCAATTTAAATTATCTTATATTCTCTTATGTCCACTTTACAAATGAGGAAAGTGAAGCTCAGAGAAGTTAAAATAACTTTCTTAAGATCCTACCTAGTAGGTACTAGGTAGAAGTAGCAGGTTGGAATTAGGTCTCTTGGCCACTAGAGCCTACATTCTCTTTACTACCACTTAATGTCGTCTTAAGTATGAGAATGGATGATGCAGGGAGAGGATTATTTTTACTGCTGTTGTTTTTGACACTCACAGATTGTGTGTAGGACTACATTTGACAAATATCACTTCATTGAACACTATTTTTTTTCCCTCTTTCTCTGCCACCTTACTGTTCAGTGCTTCAGGCACCGTGTACACTGCAATGGATGTGGCCACAGGACAGGAGGTGAGTATCCACCACCCACTGTTGCCCTTTAGTTCTGTTTCTTTTTATTTGGGATTAATTTTTAGCCCTTGTTAGGTCAATAGGAACATTTCTAATTTCTTTTTTTTTTTTTTTAATTGAGATGGGGTTGACTCACTCTGTCATCCAGGCTGGAGTGCAGTGGCGTGATCTCTGCTCACTGCAACCTCCGCCTCCTGGGTTCAAACAATTCTCCAGCCTCAGTCTCCTGAGTAGCTGGGATTACAGGCACCTGCCACCATGCCTGGCTAATTTTTGTATTTTTTAGTGGAGATGGGGTTTCACCATGTTGGCCAGGCTGCTCTCAAACTCCTGACCTCAGGTGATCTTCCTGCCTCGGCCTCCCAAAGTGCTGGGATTACAGGCGTGAGCCACTGCGCCCAGCTGGACCATTTCTAGTTTCTTACTGTAGCATACAAGATCCAAATAGCAGGCTAACATGATGAAACGTAAGGTTTGGACTAAGGTGAAATAGTTAGATGGAGGGAAGTGGATGGATTTGAGAGATACTTAGCAGGTAGGTTCGACAGGATTAGATGATTGACTGAATGTGAACGTTGTTTACAAGTGAGTGATATTATTCAAGGAGAAAGGAAAAAGAAATTGGATACTGCAATTGCCAAGTGGATAGTTGCTTATACAAGTCTGGGGCTTGGGGGAGAAATCTGATCTACAGGAGATTTAAACCATGTCTCTTGACTCCTAATCTACTGGTGCTACCTTTACTTTCCACTGAACAGTGAAATCCTCATTTATTTGGAGGCAGCTTTTTGTCCCTCTCATTTCATTAAGCCATGAGAACTATATCTAAAGCCTGCTGACCCAAGGTCTTATATTCAGTAGAAGGAAGTTAAGAAGGGAATATAGAGTACTTGAGGTTTCCTTGCATTCTAATATTTGGTTGCAGAGTAGGAGTGTCAGCCAGTGAACTGGATGGCAGCTGCCCCAGAGAAGTTCTTTCTTCAGAGAGTACTGGGACATAGCAATTGAGAGAGGCACCTCTTCTTCCAATGAAAATAGAGTTGGGGTCCTGTAAGGGAGGCTGCTAGACACGTGCTTCTATATTTCTGGTGGTTGAAACCACGTGGCATCCTGGAGAAGTCATGGTTAATAGCGGTAGCATATATCTCACTAGGCTCTCGTGAGTTTTTCAAGTGTTAAAGCCAAATATTAAAGCTCCACCTAGGGTAAGCCAAGTTTTAAAAATCATTATTATGGTTAAGGATTTATTCATTGTTCTTTGACGTGAGAATGCAAAGAACTAGATGCTTGTAAGCCTTTAGCTACTTATATAACCTTGGGCAAGTCATCTGACCTCTCTGAGCCTGAATTTTATATATTTATAAAATGTGCATGATAAAATGTCCACAAAAGTGTTGAAAGAATTCAGTAAAGCAATACATGTGAAAATGCATTATGAACTTTATGAACTACATATTCATATTTATTCATTTTTACTCATATGCATATGTATGTATTCCACAAAGCATTTGCTTTATGCCACACCTTATGCTAAGAATTCTGTGAAAGTTCACAGACATTAAAATCATGTGTAAATGTAAGAGACTGTAATTTCCTTTGTGTACATATAAAAGCCTTGTAATATTGACAGAAATCTGCCTTAAAGTAAAAATAATGGTGAGGAAGGAAGGATAGTATTATCATGACATTTTAATGATGGTGAATATGATGCAGAGATTAAAATAAAGAAGGTTATACCAATCCTGAAAAGAACTCTATGAGGTAGGTAATACTATTTTTTCTTTACTGCTGAGGAATTTGAGGCTCAGGGTGTATAAATAACTTTTTTGCAAAGTTGTACTGTCAGCGATTAGCAGGGACTGGTTTAGAATCTTCGACTCCTAATCCTGTGTGTTTTGGGCCGCAAGAGCACAACAGAGCTGAGGTTAGATACTAGAGTCCCTTGTCGTGTTTCTGGCCTCTCAGGCCTCACTGTCCTTGATGGGAGGCAGGTAGGTGATGATGGTGGTTTCTGGAAGGCCTGGAGGCTGGCTGTGTGAGAAGCTGGCCAGAGGAAAGAGAAATTTAAATTCATTGTATGCCTGCCTTGTGGTTACAAAACTATGAATGGAAGGGAGTCCATCAGGGTGGCTAATGCAGTGTGGTCAGGAAGGCTTCATTTCCTGCCCCAGGGAGAATAAATCTTTAGTGGAGTCAGCAGGATGCTCTCGGTTTTTGTGAGTGCGTGCTTATTGGGGGTTATCCAGCTGAGAAGGGCAGACCTATTGTCTCACATATAGGAAGAATGTTAGTGCTGGGAAGTCTTCCAGTTACAGATCAACAATTATTTTTCAAGCGTGTTTTTAGAGAGAATGTGTATAATAGAAAGAACAGACTGGAAGAGCCTTTGGAGTCACATGGACCTGTGGATATTGATTATGACCTTAGAATTTTCTTGAGTCTTCGCCTCAATTTTCTTACCTGAAAATGCAGATCATGATTCTTACTTTGCAGGGCTGTTAGGTTTTACTGTGATAATATAAGTAGGGCATCTAGCACAGAGCCTGGCACACAGTTGGTATTTGATAAATAGTAGTGGTGGGAGAGTGGTTGCTGTGCCAAGTACTTATTAAATGCTGTTATTACTATGATTACCATTTTCATTATTGTCTAACTTTATTGCTTATTTACTTATATGTGAGTAATGCATTTGCCATTGTCTCACTTGGTATTCAAAACAATTTTGAGAAGAGGGGAATCAAGGTTGAGATTATCTTCAACGTATTGATGAAGAGACTGAGGCTCAGAGAGCTTGTGATTGGTCAAGGTCAGTAAGTGACAGGTCCTGAGCTTAAGTTCTCAGAGTTCAAGTCTAGTTCTTTTTCTGTTATAGGAATGCTATATCCTAGCCTATATAGGTGGGGTCTGATAGATGAAGGACACAGCCTAGCCCATAGTTAGTAGCTATTGAAAAGGGCTCCCAGCTGGGCACGATGGCTCACGCCTGTAATCCCAACACTTTGGGAGGCCAAGGCGGGCAGATTATGAGGTCAGTTGTTTGAGACCAGCCTGGCCAACATGGTGAAACCCTGTTTCTACTAAAAATACCAAAATTAGCCAGGCGTGATGGTGGATCCCTGTAATCCCAGCTACACGGGAGGCTGAGGCAGGAGAATTGCTTGAACCCGGGAGGCGGAGGTTGCTGTGAGCAGAGATTGCCATTGCACTCCAGCCTAGGCAACAGAGCAAGACTCTGTCTTGAAAGGAAAAGAAAAAAGAAAAGGACTCCCATGTCCTGCCCCAGCCTCCATGTTAGCCTCTTTATGCCTCTCTTTCCTTGCTGCTGCCAGCAGTGACCACTGTGAGGTTCATAAGCAGTGTCCCATCCTCCAAGATGGCATGAGTAACTCAAAAGACAGTCTTCTGGCTCCAGTCCTTAATGTGTGTTATAAGGGCTAACTATACTTAATATCTTTAGATCAACATGTTGCTTTTCAAACGTTAGGAAAAACTAATGCTCAGCTGTTATAGACAGCTGCCACCAGACTAGAAGCCTGACCTAACAGGAAACTCCACTCCAAAGCAATTTTTCCTTACTTGAGGTAGGGAATGGCGGTGGTCTGATTTTTTTTTCGGAATTACTTCTATTCTTAATGATTAACTTGGTCTCTGCAAAAGACTGTCCATTCTTGACTTGAAGAAATAATAGAGTCAGGGATTTGTCACATAAAAGTTTGAATCATTCCTTCTTTATACTTCTTGCTGCTTCTAGAAAGACAACTTCGTTCTATTAGATGTTCGTGTTCTTGTCCACTAAGCAGGAAAAAGGCAAAATATCTCTAGAGAATGAACACTTAGAAAATAATTTAAAGTATACTCCTATGGGATAGAGGAGCCCATTGCCATTTTTTTGTTGTTTTTATTTAAAAACAAAGTACTGACCAACCTATTGACTTCTCTCTTGCCCTCTTTCTACAGACATTTCTTGAGCACCAACTCTTATGTGTGTAAAGGCCTGTGTTTGGCATTGGGGTTCTGGGCTTTCAGTCAAGCCCTCCAACTTCTTGATACAGTACCCCTAACTAATCATTACACATGATAGCAAGTTGTAAGTTCCATAAAAGAAGGATAAATATGATCTTATAGGGCTTTAAAGAAGGGAAAAGGCATATTGGGTTTGGAGAATGAAGTTTCCTTTGGCCTGATACAAAGCGTAAGTAGCTTTTGAATGTATGGAAATGATACAGGCTGTTCCAGATGAAGAGAAGATTCTGAACAAAGGAAGGGGAACTAGATACCAGGGAGAACATGGAGTGGTCTCCATGAACACTCCTCTGTGAAGGAATAGAGTTGGAAGTAAAGTAGGGGCCAGATCATGAGAACTTTGAATGTTGTGCTGAGAAACATTTCTAGGCAACCAGGAGCCATGTAAGTTTTTGAACAAGGTCATCAAATGTGTACTGTGGGGGAAAATTAATCTGGCTACATGTACAGGATAACTTGGCATCCCTTTTGAGGGTTCTAATCCTGATTTTGCTGTTGAATAGCTATGTATGCAAGTCACATCCTCTCTGAAACACAGTTTCCCCATCTGTTGAATCATTAGTAATATTTAGCACACAAGGTGTCTTTGCAGATTAAATGAAATAACAAATTTGAGAACACCTTATAATAGTACCTTACGTATAGAAGGAATTGATACCAAGTACCTTAGAAACTAAAGTATACCTTATATTCATGTTGTCTGGAAATTTGTTTTTATTTCTATAGATATAGCTCTCATCCTCCTTTTCTATTCTTTCTTGACCTGGTCAACTCTGATTTATCTTTCTACACCAGGTTCAGAAAGTCACCTCTCCCTTTATGAAGTCCCTATACTTGGCCAGATTGAAAGAGTTCTTGGCTTTTGCCGTATTCAGTGTTTTGCTAGCATTTTATATGAACCTCTGTTATAGCATCTCTTTTCTGTTGTGACTTTTTAAAAGTATTTTTCTACACCAAAGTTTGATTCTGAAACTTTGGTGTATATCACAGTGACCTGGAGGACTTATTACATCACATAGTTTCTGATTTAGTAGATTTGGGGTGGGACCCCAGGTTTTTATTTCCAACAAGCTCCCAGATGATGATAATGCTGGCTTGAGACCTCACTTTGAAGACCACTGGTCTACATAGACAAATTGTGAATTACTCGAGGGCTAAGACTGTATCTTACTCATCTTTGTTTCCTGAGTACTTAAGGTCTGGTACTTAATAGGTGCTTAATAAATGGGAATGACTATGGTTGCACATTGAATATACTCTGATTTCAGGTGGCCATTAAGCAGATGAATCTTCAGCAGCAGCCCAAGAAAGAGCTGATTATTAATGAGATCCTGGTCATGAGGGAAAACAAGAACCCAAACATTGTGAATTACTTGGACAGGTATGGAGTGGTGGGTCCCATCAGAGGGATAGGGCCTTTGGGACTGACTGGTGGACTGTCAGAGAAGAGGGCGGTGCCAGCACTCAGAACGGCCTCCATTTAAGAGTCTTCTGTGATGCTGAGCTCTCTGTAGGTGACCCTGTGTAATGCTGGACACCTTTATTGCTGGGAAATCCTTCTGTATTAGGCTGAACTCTACCACCATGTAGCTTGTAACAGTTGATCCTATTACTGTTTGTTTTGCCTAAGGGAAACCTACCAGCCCATCTGCCTGAGTCAAACATCTAGGTCCTTAACTCATTTTATATCCCAAATCTTTCCTTATTCTGCTCATCCTCCTGAATAACTGCTTATTTGTTTATGTTCTCTTAAAATGCAACGTGCAGAACTAGATGTTTCATTTGAGATCTGACCACTACGGAGAGAGTGGGACTCTTTCTAAACTCAACACAGCTTAATGATTTCATTCTTGTTTTATCTTTTAGGATGTGTGCTTTGACTCCTAGTAAGTTTGCAGTCAATTAAAATTTCTGATTTTTTTTTTTACATAGCTTGCATTAAACTGGAAATATAGAACTTTTTCACTATCTTCATTAAGTCCCATTTTTATTGTTTTAGCCCATCATTCCAGCTCATCAAAATTGTTTTTCAAAATAGTAGGAGTGGTTGTATATAATATTTGTATTGTGCTTTATTTTGTACTAAGCACTTTCACGAACAGTATCTCATTGTGAGGTAGGGTTTTTTATCCATATTTTACAGACGAGGAAACTGAGGTTTATAGATGTTAATAACTTGTCCAAGAGTAGTAAGCCATAAAACAGCAAAGCAGTGTTTTGAATTTGAATATTCCTAGCACCAATATCAATGCCCTTTCTATTATATCAGGTTCTTTTCTCCGATACCTGAACAAAAAAAAAAAGTTAAGCTTCTTGCCCAGGGTTCAGAGACATCATAGGTGGAGGTGAAATTGGACTATATCTTGGGCTCTAATTTCTGTACCTCTTATATTGCATGACCAGCTACCTCTTCCTGTTACTGGTAGATTTCATAAGGGTGCCTTCTTATTCTGCATCTAAAACACTAGTAAGCTTCAGTTTCCTTAAAAAGGAAAAGAGTTGAACTTTGACATTCCCAACACTGTAAAGAATAAAGCCTTTTTCTTTGAGATGGTTATGTCTCCTTAATGTGGGTCCTGACTGGCTCTGAAGAATCCTCTGAAAGTTAGTACCTTATCATCTCTTTCAGAACTTATTATACAGAGAATATAGCTCGTGCAAACTACTGAAGGCGACAGGGGTTTTAGATTTTGGCTCAGGATATGGAAAAATGAAAGCTGTCAGTAAGGGTATGGCCTGTCTCACAAAATGGTGAGTTACCCATCAGTGGATGCATCCAAATGATAAGACCATGTTATTGAAGGAATTTGTGTTCTGGGAGTAGGATTAAGAGACTTATAGATTTGTTTATTAATCATACCTTTACTGGTATTCCCAGAGGCTTTTACTCTGGAAATCAGAAGTAAATAATGCTATCTTTGCCCTCAAATAGTTCCTGGTCTGGTATAGAAAAAAGTACACTCTGTAAAATCATAGAAGAAGATCTTAACCTGAGCATTCAGTGAAGGTGTTACAAATGAGGGTCTGTGGTTTTTGTGAGATGTCCCAGGGGGAACTCCATCACATATGGATGAACTCATGGGCAGAACCCTCATGATGTAATCACCTTCCAAAGGCCCCACCTCCTAATAACATTAGTGATTAGATTTTCAACATATAACTTGTGAGGGACACAAACATTCAAACCATAGCAGTTCAAATCCCCATAGTCTTCTCTCTCAAAAGAGATTGTTGAAGAAACACTTAGTCTGTCATGTTTATTTGTCATGGACATTTAAAAATTACAAATCAGAACACAAAGTTTTATGGAAAGAGCAGTGGATTAGTAGTCAAAAAAATAGGATTCAAATCTTACCCTTTGCTTGAGTGCATTTGTTAAAATCTTCCAACAGTCTCCACATCTGTCCAGCAGTGTTCCCAATATCAGGATGAAGATAAGATGATACCACACAGTTCAAGCCAGTGCAAGGAATGTTTTTTTCCCAATCCAGCATCTATGTCCAAGACTGGCAGAAGACTTTAGGGCTCTAGGCTCACCTTGTTTTTATTTGTCCGATTCTATAGTAAGGAAACATTGACCAGACAGGCTAAGTGACCTTTTTATTTATCATGTAATAGGGTTGAGTGATCCAACCTCTGAGTGAAGCCATCCCTTCCAACTCGTGTGAGCCCACAATCTCTCCGGGGATACCTTACTAAATGGTAGCCTTGGCTTATCAGACGGCTTTGGCTCTGTAAGCCGTTGCTAAATTCATTCCATTCTTGAATCACAGACACTCAAAGTAGAGGTCAATTGTCAGCATAATGACTATGTATACAACACTTTGCAGCTTTTAAGGGACTCATAAACATTGTTTCATTTAATATTTTTAGTTATCTTTTATTTCATTCATTGATTTATTTAGTAAATATTGGCATTTGCTGTGCTGGACTCTGGGGATAGAGTCTTAAACAAGACCCAATACTTGGTCTCATAGATCTCAGATCTGGTAGGACTCTCTGGGAGGGTTAGTAGCTCTCTCTTCTTTGGGTAACATGGACTGTAAATCCTATCATTGTAAAATGTTTGGATGCTTCTAGAGGGAATCATGTCAGTCTTTCTAATTTTAGAATGTCTTCCTTTGTGTTGTGATGAAATGCAATTTTATTGTATCACTTTAAGCTAGTGATCTTAGTTCTGCCCTTTGGGGTTTCACAGAACATGTATGCTTGGTTTTCTCCAGGAGCATCCTTGAGAAATTCAAAGTTAGTGATTTTGTCCCCCAGATTCTGCTTTTCCCCAAAGTAAAGAATCTTTTACTTTACTTTGTGCTAAGACGTAGTTTCACTCTGTGTATATGCTTAGCCTTTGAAACCCAGTGCCATGGCTCAGAGTACTCGGATTGTTCCCTCTCACCCTTTATCTGTATTCCTGCAGTTACCTCGTGGGAGATGAGCTATGGGTTGTTATGGAATACTTGGCTGGAGGCTCCTTGACAGACGTGGTGACAGAAACATGCATGGATGAAGGCCAGATTGCAGCTGTGTGCCGTGAGGTAAGGCCAAGGGCCAAGCAGTCTTGGGTAGAAAGCTGCCTCCGTATTCCTGTCTCCTGAAGTTCCCTACCCAGTGAGATCTCAGTCTGGGCTCTGTGGAATTGGTAGAAATTAGTGCTGACACTCCTATCATTCCTGTATTGTACCTGTGTTTGTCATTTCTATCACCATGATTTTTTTTTTCTTTAAAGATAACTTTATTCTACCCAATGTAGAAAAATTATAAAGTACTAGATAGTATATATTATAAAAAGTCACTCGTAATTCCAGTCTTAAAGATAACCACTCTAAGCACATTATTATATATTCCTTTATCTCTTTTATCTGGGCATATATTTTAATCATTTTTATTCTGCTTTCTTGCTTTATTTTTGTGCTATAAGGAAAATAAAGCAGAGTAAGAAGGTAGTGATGGAGGAAGTTCTATTTTAGACGGAATACTCAGGGAAGGTTTTGCTATGGATTTGAGTAAACATCTGAATGATATATAAAAGCAAGCCAGCAAAAATCTAGGGTAAAATACTTCCAGGAAAAAAAAAAAAAAAGGTCAAATAGATATTCCCTTTCTCCTCATTGCGATTAAATGTCTAGAATCGATAATATGCTGATGTAAGAGGAAAAAAAGCCCTCCAGAAGGCCTGGACAGTGTCCTCAGGGAATAACCACATTTCATTTCCATTAGAGCAAGAAGATGAAGGGAATATTCAGAGACATTGAGGATATTGGGTGTTTTGCTGATGACAGACTGGAACTTTCTGGTGGCCCAATAATGCAAAAGTAATTGCAGTTTTTGCCATTACTTTAAAAAAAAAAATGCCAAAAACCACAATTGCTTTTGCACCAACATAATAGAAAAGTTAGGAAATTAGGGGAAGCATAGAAGATGAGATGAGGTTCAGAATTTTGTGGGGATGAGTGTAATAGTGTGATTGGGGTTTGATGGTGCAAGATCTGAAGGCATACTGCTGAAATTATGTAGTTACATATTTAATCAGTGTTAAGAAAAATAAAATGTGAAATCAATACTGCCCTAGAAAATATGGTCCCCTTTGCAAACAACTTTGGGATCTAGAATATTCACAAGTAATTGGAATTAATTAATGGAATTAATACCAGGCTGGGATTCTTAGGGGTTCTGACTTTTTTTCCTTGTTCCACTACTAATGCAGTATTTCTTAACCTTCTTTTCATTGTCTCCTTCTTAAGGAGCCTTTTTCCTAATCATACTCCCTGCCATGAGATTTTAATATCACAGATACATAGGTAAACTGTTTACATACTATGGCCCTTTGAAGGGTCATAAACCATTGTAATACCTAAGATTTTTTTCACCACACCTGCTTACCCTCAGGAACCAAGTTTCACTAGTGGAGAATACATACATACGTATACTTTGGGAAATCATTTTGCCTCATTATTAATCTATAAAATGGAAATTGCAACATTCACACTGTATATACCTTAAGGGTGCTATATGGATGAAAAAGCACTTGGAAAAAAATGTTAATGTTGTATAATAGATGGTATTACTATTCTTCAGTTCTAATAGAGATCATCTCCTTTTTAAAACATCTTTACTGAGATATAATTCACCCATTTAGAGTATATAATTCACTAGCTTTTAGTATGTTCATAGAGTTGTACAACCACCATCATAATGAATTTTAGATCCTTTTTATCACTCCAAAGAGGAAATTAATATCCATTAACAGTCAATCCCCACGTCCCCTGCCCTGACTCTCCCAGCCCTATGTAACCGCTAATCTATTTTCTACCTCTGTAGTTTCCCTGTACTGGGCATTTTATATAAATGGAATCATGTAATATTTGTTCTTTTGTAATTGGCTTCTTTTACTTAGCTAGCATTGTGTTTCAAAGAATCATCCATTTTGTAGCATGTATCAGTACCTCATTCCTTTTTATTGCCAAGTAATAGAATGGACATTTGAGTTCTTTCTGTTTTCGGCTGTTATAAAAAATAAAAAATTACTCTATGAACACTTACATACCAGTTTTTGTGTGGAAGTATGTTCTCATTCTCGTGGGTATATAACTACAGGTGGATTGCTGGTCATATGACAACTCTGTACTCAACTTTTGAGGAACTGCCAAACCATTTCTGTAGTAGCTGTACTGTTTTACACTCCTGCCAGCAATGTATGAGGTTCCAATTTCTCAAGATCATTCTTTTTCATCATAATTTCTGACATCCGGAGATGTCTCCACCCTTGTAAGAAGAGCAGCTCTTACATTTTCAGGGAAAACCCAATTCTGGATATTGTTTTATTCTTAATTTAGCCATTGGTATATTCTTAGAAAGTAAAGTATTAGGTTAGGACCATTTAAATAGTATTTTCCTGTTCACTTATATCTTTAGTGTTTTTTAATTGGTAGAAGTTTCTAAAAAATTAGTTTTGGGTCAATGAAAGCAAATTATTGATTTAGTAGAAAAGCTGAGATGATCTCATCTAATTCCCACATTTTATAGATGGGAGTCCAGAATTATATAGTTAGTGGGGTAGCAGCAGAACCAGGCATTTTAATTGTACCATCGTGTCTCTTTGTTACTCATTCTGCCTGTGTACCATAGGTGTTTTCCAAGGTTCTTCTCTTTCTCTTATACCCTTTGCCAGGTTCAACCATTTCTGTAACTTAAAAATCATCTCTTCCCAAATGACTTGTAAATATTTACCTCTGTATGGAAACTAAGAGTTATAAATTCAGTTGCCTACTGGACATTTGTCTTCAGATGTCAAATTCAGCATATCCAAAATAGTACAAAATATCTCCTCACCAAAATAAGATTATCCTGCTAACTTACTGCTTCTGGTATCACTTCCATATGTCTGCTTCCTCAAATATGACCCTTATTTGTTGTTTTCCTCCAGTGTGTCATTATAAGATCCTTTCCATTTTTCTTCAGTAATTTCTCTTGGGCCTTAGGTTCTTTACCAAGGATCTAATTTAAAAAAAAAAAAAAAACCATTGGAGGAACTCCTTTACTTAAAAAACTATTTTAAGGTGAAAGGCAGCATGGAGTGTTAAAAGAATGTTTAGCTGGGAGATGGAAGACTTGGTTCTAGATCTGGCTCTGCGAGTGATTTGGGGCAAGTCCTTTTACTCGTTGGGGCCTTACTTCCTTTATTTTAAAGTGAAGAGGTTGAATTAGTTGATTTTCTATTAAGTCTTCTGTATTATATGTATGTCCTTTCTTTCTCCCCCTGCCCACACCACTTCAATAGTGTCTGCAGGCTCTGGAGTTTTTGCATTCGAACCAGGTCATTCACAGAGACATCAAGAGTGACAATATTCTGTTGGGAATGGATGGCTCTGTCAAGCTAAGTAAGTAGGAGCCTTAGGAATGATAATACTTCTCTCCCTGTGGGGCCCTGTCTCCTGTGAGATGGTCATCATATAATAGTAACTACGACACTCACCAAAGGGTCTTTATTATTTCATGGGATATGAGGGCTGTTTTATATTCTTCTATATTAATCATAGGATATCATTTCATTATTTTTTCATTCATGTATACATTTAACAACAACCACAAAAAACTTGGCTGAATGCTTACTCTGTGCTAGGTCCTGTGATGGGCACTGAGAGTACATTTTCCCTACCTTCTCAATCTAGTATGGAAAACATTTAATAGATAATTAGAAAAAAGGGTTTTGCGTAACTTCTTTCATTCAGTTATTCAGCAAACTTTTATTGAATGTCTAGTACATGCCAGTCCTTCTAGGGATATGAGGACAAGTAAGAAGATATAATCCGTACTCTCAAAGACTTCCTAATTTAAATAAATTTATAATTGCAATATAATGTGAAAACCACGGCAGGTAGAACATTTTGTTCAAAGGTGTAAAGACCAGTAGACCAGAAAAACAGGCTATGTTATGGGTGGATGGGCAGTTTATGGAAGGACTGCTAGCAGCCCTGGGCCTGGGGCATAAAAACAGGGCCATGCTTAGTCATAGGTGACTGGGGTTTAAATCAAGGACTCGTGCCCAAGAAATAAGGCAAGGACCTCGTTGCCATATTTGAGAATATGAGAATGGTTTTTCAAGAACAAAGCAAAACTGGGACAAGCAATCAAGACCAAAATGGGCAGCTTGGACTTTAACACTAAGTCCCCTGGTTTAAGGAGAGATAGGAGGCCAGAGATGGTGTTTCTTATATTCCTCCTATTTCTCTTCAGGGTTCAATAGGAAATAGGCTAGGAGCTAGACATGAAGGTGGCAGTCAAGTGACTTTGGAGAGACAGAGCTGGAAGCCAGGCAGATCTTGTCACCTACGTGTAGGCACACAGTCAACACTTACTGAAGTGAGTGTATATCCTAAATGTATGTTCTTTCTCTTATTTTTCTTTTCTAGCTGATTTTGGATTCTGTGCACAGATAACCCCAGAGCAGAGCAAACGGAGCACCATGGTGGGAACCCCATACTGGATGGCACCAGAGGTTGTGACACGAAAGGCCTATGGGCCCAAGGTTGACATCTGGTCCCTGGGCATCATGGCCATCGAAATGATTGAAGGGGAGCCTCCATACCTCAATGAAAACCCTCTGAGAGTGAGTGTTACAATTCCTATTTCAATTTATTTGGGCTGTTGTCTCTAGTCCCAGGAAATAAGAATCCAGGCTATTCTCTATGGCTTTCAACCTGGAGATCCCTTTTCTGGATACAACTAGTCACTGTTGAACTTAAAATATAAATGGTCAAAGAAAAGGAATATTAGAAGTCACTCATTCATTTATTCAACAACTATCTGAGTCCCTTTCAAGTGCAAGAAACTATTCTAATGAAAATAAAATAAATTAATATGTAGTAACAGATGGTAAATGCTGTGAGAAAAAGCAAAGTAAGGAAGTTAAGAGAGTAATGGAGGAAGAGGTGTGCTATTTTAGAGCAGAGAGGGAAGTTCTCTCTCGTAAGTTATTTTATTCTGCAGAGTTGGGAAGTCATTAGAGGGTTTTGAGCTGAGGAGTAATGTGATCTGATTTATGTTTTAAACAGATCATTTTGGCCGCTTTTATGGAAAATAGACTGCGAGAGACTGTTGAAATAGTTCAGAGTGGTGGTGTCTTGGTAGGAGTGGAAGTGAGAAGTGGTCAGACTCAGGAAATGTCTTGAAGGACTAGCTGACAGGATGAACTGAATATTAGAGAAAGAGGAATCAGCAATTACTACACGATTTTTGGTCTGAATTGCTGAAAAAATTCAGTTGCCATCTGTTGAAATGGTGAAGACCATACTTAAGTTGGGTAATTAAGAGTTGGTTTTGAATGTGCTGATTTGAAGTGTTAATTAGACATTTAAGTGGAGCTGGGAGTAGAGTTTGGCTTAAGAGTCTGGAGTTCAAGGGTGAGGGGTCAGGACAATAAACATAAATTTATTAGTAGATAATATATAGTTGGTATTTAAAATCAGAGGTAGATGAGATCACTCACCTAGAGAATGAGTACTGTTAAAGAAAAGAGATTTGAGTACTGAGCTCTAGGTTATTCCACTGTTTACAGGTTGGAGGAACTAGCAAAGTAGACCAAGGAGTGGCCTTTCTAGTGTGAGAGAACAGAGAAGTGTCTTGGAGGTGAAGTGTCCTGGAGATGAATAGAACAGTGTGCTTCCCGAAGGAGGAGGAGGGTAGATTATGTGTCAAATGTGATTGATAGGTTAAGATGAAACTGAGAAATGAACATTGGATTTGCCAATGTAGAGGTTCTTAATGACCTTAACAATCAGTTGTCAGTAGAGAGATGGGGATGAAAGTCTAATTAAATTCATGAAAGTGGAAGAAGAGGACGTTGAGATGGCATGTATAAACAGGTTTTTTTTCTTTTAAAGGAATTTTGCTGGGAAGGGTAACAAAAATGGAACACTATCTTAAAATGGAGTCAAGGGAAGGTTTTTCTAAAAGATTATGTCTGTGTGCTAATGGGAATGATTTAGTGGAGAGGAGGAAAATGGTCATGTACAAAAAGGAAGTGACAACTATAGAAGTGATATCCTTAAGTCGATGAGAGGGGTTCGATCAAGTACTGAAGTAAAGGACATTAGATTAGCATGGACAATTTATCCCTTGTAACAGAGCATATCAACACAGATGCAAATAGGTTGGTAATCTTGGTGTGGGCAAATGTGAAATTTATTCTGATTGCTTTTATTTTCTCATTTATTCCCACCTCCCATCTAGTGCAGGAGTTCCCTGTGCACTGTTGCTGGTAGGTGGTCATCTACACGCTCATGTCATCCTTGGGTATCTCTGATTATTGGAAATTGCTTCAGTGCACCAAACTGAAACTACCTTCTGTAGTTTCTATCCTTTGGTCCCAGCTTTGCCTCTGACTCCACATGCAACATATTCTTCCCTGCCTTAGAATGGCCTTGCAGAGATTTGAAGATAATAATTGCTGGGATATGTTGGAAACAAGACAGAGTGATCCTAGACACACACACACACACACACACACACATATTTTTTTTGAGACAGAGTCTCACTCTGTCACCCAGGCTAGAGTGCAATGGTGTGATCTCAGCTCACTGCAACTTCTACCTTCCAGGCTCAAGCGATTATCCTGCCTCAGCCTCCTGAGTAGCTGGGATTACAGGCATCTTCCACCATGCCCAGCTAAGTTTTGTACTTTTAGTAGAGACCAGATTTCGCCATATTGATCAGGTTGGTCTTGATGGTCTCAAACTCCTGACCTCAGGTGATCCACCCACCTCAGCCTCCCAAAGTGCTGGGATTACAGGAGTGAGCCACCACGCCTGGCCCTAGACATATCTTTTTATGTTTCTGTACCTTATTTGTGAAGTGAGGATGATAATTCTTGCCCAGAGTTAATTGTGGCCATTAAATTAGACAGTGCTTATGTAAGTACTCTTTGAATTAAGTGCTGACTGATTGTAAAGATTTGGTCTTACTGTGTTTTTCTTTACCTTTCCCAGGAGATGCTTCATTTAGGGGACCAAGGTGGCAACAGTTTTCACTTATATTTAATATTCCTTTCCTGCTAAAAGAGATCAGTTCTTGGATGACTGAGGTGAAGGCACCAGGAATAATTTCTGCCAGTAGCTGGGCAGATGTTTCAACAGGCTAAATGGATAATAAACCCTTCAGATGTGTAAGCAAGAATAATAATAAAGCCGGGCATAGTGGCTCACATCTGTAATCCCAGTACTTTGGGAGGTTGAGGCAGGCGGATCACTTGAGTCTAGGAGTTCGAGACCAGCCTGGCCAACATGGTGAAACCCTGTCTCTACTAAAAATACAAAAAGTAGCCGAGTGTAGTGGTGGGCACCTGTAATCCCAGCTACTTGCGAGGCTGAGGCAGGAGAATCGCTTGAAGCCAGGAGGTGGAGGTTGCAGTGAGCCAAGATCTTGCCACTACACTCTAGCCTGGGCGACAGAGCGAGACTCTGTCTCAAAAAAAAAAAATAAATAATAATAATAATAATAATAATAAACCCTTAGGTCTGTAACATATTTCGTAAGTTTACAAAGTATTTTCAAATACACTATCTTATTTTTACAGATATGTGAGATGGGCATTATCATCATCCTTACTTTACAGATAGGGAAGTTGCACATAGTCTCATGGCCTTTAAATGTTCAGCCTGATCCTTAGGTCATACTCTTTCCAGTATATATACACAGCTGCTACTTTGCATCCTAGAGCATAAAGCAGCTGACCATATTTCTAGAATGTGTATATGGAGAACAAGAGAGAGCCTCAGTTGGAGTTCAAGGTGATTCATCATTTTTATTGCCAGGCCTTGTACCTCATTGCCACCAATGGGACCCCAGAACTTCAGAACCCAGAGAAGCTGTCAGCTATCTTCCGGGACTTTCTGAACCGCTGTCTTGAGATGGATGTGGAGAAGAGAGGTTCAGCTAAAGAGCTGCTGCAGGTAACTGTCCCTGTGCAGGGAAGCACCTAATTCAGGGAATCACTAAACCAGGCCTTTTTTACTTCATGTTTGTCTGTAAGGTACTGGATATTATAGAACTAGGCTTCTCTTTTACCATTTCCTACCCTCACTCTGTTCCTACTGCTCTAACTTTTATCCCTGGGGCTTTGCTTATTTATTTTCTTAGCCTCTTTCTCGGCCTGTTAAAACTCTACACGTTCTCCTAGGCTCAGTTTACAATCATTTTCTGAGCACCTATTGAGCTTTGCTTGTAGCCTGCCTTCCTTCCTTCCTTCCTTCCTTCCTTCCTTCCTTCCTTCCTTCCTCCCTCCCTCCCTCCCTCCCTCCCTCTCCTTTCCTTTCCTTTCTTTCCTTTCTTCTTCCTTTCCCTTTCTTTTCTTTCCTTTTCCTTCCTTTCCCTTTCCTTCCTTCCTTTCCTTCCTTTCCTTTCCTCTCCCTCCCCCTCCCCCCCTCCCCCTCCCCTTCCCCCCTTCCTTACTCTCACCTCCCCACAGGGTCTCACTCTGTCACCCGGGCAGGAGCGTACAATGGTGTGATTTTGTCTCACTGCAGTTTTCCTCTCCTGGGTTCACTCAAGTGATCTTCCCACCTCAGCCTCCCAAGTAGCTGGGACTACAGGTACATGCCACCATACCGGGCTAATTTTTTAAAAAGTTTTTTGTAGAGACGCGGTTTTGCTGTGTTAGCCAGGCTGGTCTCAAATTCCTGGGTTCAAGCGATGTGACCACCTCGGTTTCCCAAAGTGCTGGGACTACAGTTATGAGCCACCATGCCCGGCCTGCTTGTATCTTTCATTAGCACATCCTTTGTTCTGTTTGAATTAGTCTGGCAGAGTTTGTTTGAGTCTTGTTGAGAAATGGCTCTCTGACACCCAAATCTTACGCAAGTTATATTTTTGCTGGGATTAGCTCAAAGGATACATTTTTAGCAAAGGAACATACGTTTATTTTATTTTATTTATGTTTTATTTTTTGAGACAGGATCTCTGTCTGTTGCCCAGGCTGGAGTGCAGTGGTGCAGTCATGGCTCACTACAGCCCCAGCCTCCCCAGGTTCTGCTGATCCTCCCACTTTAGCCTCCAGAGTAGGTGGGACTACAAGCGTGCACCACCATACCTGCCTAATTTTTATATTTTCTGTAAAGACAGGGTTTTGCCATGTTGCTCAGGCTGGGCTCAAACGATCTGCCCGCTATAGCCTCCCAAAGTGTGGAATTACAGGCATGGCATGAGCCACCATGCCCATCCATGGAACATAAGTTTAGAAGATAATTAGTGAGTATGGCTTTTGGAGTCTATACTCTCTTCACTGGAAATCCTCAGATAATGGCAATGATACTCTACTTGTTGAGAGTGAGATTTTGCCAGTTTGTGGAGAAACCCGGAGTCAGGGGTTTACCAGGCCTTTTATACTCCCACCCCCCTAATCCTGATAATTTTACATGGTTGAAAAAATTGCCTTTAGCAGGCCACATCATTTGTATTTAACATATTTGTTTCCAGTACAATTTCTTATAACAAGTGTTCTTTTATTGTATTGCCCACTAGTGATTTAATAGTAAGTATCATGTGCAACTTTATGAAGGCATGCACTGTCATTTATTTTCGTATTATAAAGCCCAGGAGTGACAGAGCAGGGCAGGGCAGGGCAGGACCTAGCCTACTGCCCTGTGTTAATTATGAATCTTTCCTACTGGATTATAACCTCTATTTTATTAATCCCTGAGTTTCTTGTTTTACCTAGAACCTGACTCAGGATAGGTACTCAAAAAATATTTATTGAATTGAATGAAATTGCTGGAAGAACCTACATTGGAATATCATCCTCTAGAACATATTTATCATCTCTTTGTAATTGAGGTTACTGATTATGGAGTACTGGCCTATTAGATATGAGATCTGGGTTCTGCCAAGTGTAACCCATTAGTCTCTAGTATCTGTTGGGACTAAAAGTCTCTTAGTACAATGTAGGACCCCTTTTGCTGTTCATGAGAGTTGTATTCTGCAAACTGTAGGCACTGGGAAATGTGTAAATACGATATGCTAAGCCTGTGATTAGTAAAGATACCATTCTTAATTAAGTACCAAACTATAGTTCTTGAAAGGTTAGTGCCCTCTAAAGTTTTCTTCCTGATACAGTAATATAACTAGTAATAAATGCATTATATTGAATCTTTACCATATTTTAGGCACTAAACACTTTATATATTTAGGCACTAATAAGCACTTTATATATTGTCCTTCACAACAACTCTATGAGTTATAGGTTCTGTTATTCTCATTTTTACAGATGAGGAAACTGAGGTTTCAAGTATTTAGTAACTTTTCCATGATAGCTGATATGTGGCAGATCCAGGATTTCAGCCTGTTTGGCTCCGAAGTGTGTATGCTCTTGGCCACTGCTCTTACAGGCTCAAAGAGTATCACAACTGGAAAGCCCTTAGGGCTCATCTAGTCTGTTTTGTTTATTAGACAGAGAAGGAAACTGAGGCCTCCCAGTTCAGTGTTGGATCATGCTGCTCTCAACTTAGGGGAATTGTAGAAACATGTGATCTGAGAAAGCTGGCTTTTTAACTTGTTGGTGTACATTGTAAATATTGAAAACCATGACTTTGAGAATCGTAAATCATAAAAGCTTCACATCTGTTTCTCCTGTGAGAACACACTTATGGACAGAAATACATAGGATGATATATATTGGAATTCCTATCTTCTTGATTTAGCTAGGATCTTTTATTCCTTTCATAGTAATAGTACCTTCTTGTTCTCAGTAGCTCTTTATACTATCTCTGTCCCAACAGAAGTTGAAAAAATTCTCAGCAAAGAATATTGTATATATGTTTCCCTCTCTTTGTGTGTGTGTGTGTGTGTGTGTACGTACATATATACAATATGACTAATCAAGGGAATTAGAAGTATGGCAGAAGAATCAGATATGTTCATGTGAGTTGAATAATTATGCTTAGAGGTCAAATTTGGTTCTCAATTTCCTGGTAGCCAGGGCAGAAAAGGAAATGTGATAGTTCCTATATTTTTTATCAAATAGAAGAAATATCCTACATCTTTAAGACACAAAGCTTTTTTACTACTAAATGTTTAAAAACAAAAAAAAACAAAAAACACCATTTTTGGTTAAGAGGCTCTGAGAATTACATAAGGAATTGTTAGGCCAGGCATGGTGGCTCATGCCTGTAATCCCAGCACTTTGGGAGGCTGAGGCGCGTGGATCACTTGAGGTCAGGAGTTCGAGACCAGCCTGGACAGTATGGCGAAACCCCGTCTCTACTAAAAATACAAAAATTAGCCAGGCATGGTGGTGGGTGCCTGTAGTCCCAGCTATTCGGGAGGTTGAGGCAGGAGAACTGCTTGAACCCGGGAGGCAGAGGTTGCAGTGAGCTGACACCATACCACTGCACTCCAGCCTGGGCAACAGAGTGAGACTCTGCCTCAAAAAAAAGAAAAAAAAAGAAGGGAATTGTTTTCCGTAACAGTTTTACTGAAAATATAGATGCAATTTTCATATATTTTCTCCTAAATAGTCATTAAAGGTTGAAGGTATGGCCCAAAGTACAGCGCAGTGAAAGTGATTTGGGAAAGGACCAAGCTACTGAACTTTTTACTAAATGAATTAGCATTATTGGATTTGAGGATAGAACAATAAATTCCTAGATCAATTCTCCTAAACTGTAGTATTGCAATATACTACTGGGTCATGATCTCTCAATACCTTCCCCAGAGGTAATTACTCTGATTATCATCGTGGTTTAGGCTTACCTCAGAAGAAATGGAATAAAACAATATGAACTCGCTTGTCTAGCTTCTTTCCCTTAACATGTCTGTGAGATTCAACCCATTGTCAGTGTACCAATTACTTATTTTACTGCTGTGTAGTTTTCTGTGTAGTATTATATGAATATAACACTATTCATTTTTCCATTCTCTTGGACATTTGGGTTCTTTCTGGTTATTGGCTATTATAAGCAAATCTTCTATGAACATTTCTGTGTATATCTTTTGGTGGCTATACAAACTCATTTCTTTTGGGAATACACCTAGGATTGTAATTACTAGGGTATAGGTAGATGTATGTTTATCTGTAAGTAGATGCTGCCAAACAGTTTTCCAAAGTGGTCTGTTTTAAGATGTCCTTCAATTCGGGGATGATCGGAAGCTTTCCACATAGCACCCTTTACAAACAAGGATGCCCTTATGTCTTGTAACGCTTACTGGGGAAGAATGGTAAATAGTCATGTGTCTTTTGCTATTTTTCTCCTTTCTAGCATCAGTTCCTGAAGATTGCCAAGCCCCTCTCCAGCCTCACTCCACTGATTGCTGCCGCAAAGGAGGCAACAAAGAACAATCACTAAAACCACACCCACCCCAGCCTCATTGTGCCAAGCCTTCTGTGAGATAAATGCACATTTCAGAAATTCCAACTCCTGATGCCCTCTTCTCCTTGCCTTGCTTCTCCCATTTCCTGATCTAGTGCTCTCAAGACTTTGATCCTTGGAAACCATGTGTCCAGCGTTGAAGAGAATGGCAACTGAATGACTAATCAGATGATGGCCACTTCTAAATAAGGAATTTCCTCCCAATTCATGGATATGAGGGTGGTTTGATTAAGAGTTTATATGAATAAATGTTTCTAGTCTTCCATACAGCAAAATCCTCACCTCCTTCATAACCATCCCCTATAATTAATTCTTGACTATATAAATTTATGGTTTGATAATATCAATTTGTAATCAGTTGAGATTTCTTTAGTGCTTGCTTTTCTGTGACTGAACTGCCCAGACACCTCTTTGTACTTGAAAACTGGAACAGCTTGGGAATGCCATGGGGTTTGATAATCTGCCAGGGACATGAAGAGGCTCAGCTTCCTGGACCATGACTTTGGCACAGCTGATCCTGACATGGGAGAACAACCACATTTTTCTTTATGTGTGCTTCTAGCAGCTGTTTGGGAGGACCTTGACCCAATAGTGTTCCCATGCTGTTTCTTGTGAAATGCTCTCGGCTATGTAGCAGCTTTTGATTCCCTGCATACCCTAGGCTGCTGCCCCTATCTTGTCCCTTGTTTATAACATTGAGAGGTTTTCTAGGGCACATACTGAGTGAGAGCATTGTTGAGAAGTCAGGGGAAAAAAGGTGACTACTTTTAGAGCAAGGCTGGGCATCAGCACCTGTCCAGCTCTACTTGTGTGATGTTTCAGGAACTCAGCCCCTTTTTCTGCCTGGGGTAAGGAGCTGAAAGATTAACTTGGATCTTCTAATGGTCTAAATCTTTTGGTCACAATAAAGAGTCTCCAGATTAGAGACTGCATGTTAGTTCTGGATGGATTTGGCGGCCTGACATGATACCCTGCCAGCTGTGAGGGGACCCTGTTTTTAAGATGCATGGCCAAGCTCTCTGCCAATGGAAATGCTTACACTGGGTGTTGGGAATGTTTGCTACCTCCTGCTATTTTTGTGGTTTTGGTTCTCCCACTATGGTAGGACCCCCAGCCAGCATTGTGACTTGTCATGTCAGCCCCATTGACTACCTTCTCATGCTCTGAGGTACTACTACCTCTGCAGCATAAATTTCTATGTCCGTCAATAAAAGGAGATGAAAGTATTCTGTTGGAGTATGCCTTTTTTCTTTTGTTCTCTCTTTCCTTTTCTAATTTTTTATATGAAATAATGAATAGTTTCTTTCTGAACAATTTGAGAGTGGTAAGTTGCAGATAGGATGCCCCTTTACCACTATATACTTGAATGTGTATTCTTTCTTTTTAACACTTTTATGTTAAATATAAATTAAGATAAATGGGCCAAAACCATTTGTATTGTTTAAAGAATAATTATAAACACACTTGTATCCATCAAATCAAGAAATGGAACACTGATAATAAGAACCTTTTCTATCTTGTCTTTCCCTTTCTCATTATAGCCCCCACCCAAGAGGTAACCACTTGTCTTGACTTTTATTTAAATAACTTTCTTGCTTTTCTCTATACTTTCATCACATTCAGGTGTGTTCCAATACAAGTTGATTTTAGTTCGGCCAGTTTTTGAACTTTAAATAAACATATCATAATAGATACGTTCTTTTGTGCCTGTTATTGTTTCCACTCAAGATTATGTTTTTAAGATATATGTACCTAGTTTGTGTGTAGCTCTAGTTCATTTATTATTCCAGCTGTAAGCACTTGAGAGGAAAGTTTTAACTTGTCCAAGATGAATTCTCTGAGGACTGGCCTTCCAAAGGAGTTGGCTTTCTGCAGAACTCTGTCATAATGGACTACAGCCAACTGCTCAAGGCAGCCATACCTGGTAGAATTCTCAGGTGGCTAATCAGGCCACGGGTCTGTCACATCTTACAGCTACAACCATAAGGCTTGAGCCCCAGCTTTGATCACACCAGAGAAAATGCTACTCAAAGATGGCACAACAGAGCTAGAGGCTGGTGTTCTGTTGTGTGGTTTTACTATTGGATCACAGTACCTAATAACTACTAGAGAAGATGTGGTGCTTCTTAGGTATGCAAAATATAATCCCCATGGCTCAGTGCCTGGAGTCCTTCTCTGGAGTATGATATCTGGGCCCTACTACATTTCTTTGACCCAGAAGGTGATGGACATTAGAGTTTCCACACTCCGGCTAATGTTCTGTAACCACATGTTTCCACCAATAAAGCAGGCTCTAAAAGGTCTGGAGTGGATACTGCCTTATCAGCTGCCCTTGTCTGCTTCATAATGGCAGCAGTAACTGGGTATTATGGAAACCAACCAAGGAATTAGAGAACCAAGATTCACCTTGGGTGAGAAAATGCCCTCTTGGCACAGGACAGCTGGCCAACCATATTCAAGGACTGGGATTGTGGGTCACTGACCGGTTGCAGAAACAAAACCTGCCAAGCCAAGAAATTTAAGAGTTATATTCCTGAGAATGGAGATCTAGGGGTGGGGGATATCACCCAGGATGGTATTCCAAGGTGGTTTTTAAGAACCTTAGAGTCACCAATGAGGAGACTTCCACTGCAGGAAAGGCTGGACAACTAGCTTTGATTAAGTTCCTGAGAAGCTTAGATTCACTGTGAACCAGAGACTTGAGGTAGAAGTTAGTGATGATCTCTTCAGGGACAGAATTCTGTGGTTACTAATGACCTTGGAGGAAGCTGTCTCCCAGGAGGGGTTCATTGAGAGTAAGGCTGAATCAGTACTGGATGAATTTTAAACTAATCATGTGGAATATGTCCCCTGATGACATGCCCCTTGTGTAAAGAATGGCATATGACCTTACCTGAGCAGAGCCAATCAAATGGGACCCTTCCCTGATGTTCCTCCCTTGGCTGTGAGTGAGGAGCAGCTTGAGATGTCAGTGTTACTAAGGTGTTGCTCTTTCCTAAAAAGCAAAGACTAGGAAGGCCTAAAGAGGTGGTCTATGTGAGATGCAAAAAAGATATCTAGTACAGTAGTCCCCACTTAGCCGCTGCTTCACTTTCCGTGGTTTTAGTAACCCACAGAACAATAAGATACTTGGAGAGAGAGAGAGAGAGAGACCACATTCACATACGTTTTATTACAATGTATTGTTATAACTGTTCTATTTTATTACTCTTGTTCATCTCTTACTGTGCCTAATATGTTAACCTTTATTATAGGTCTATGTATAGGAAAAAAAAAACATAGTATATACAGGGTTTGGTACTATCCATGGTTTTAGACACCCATTGGAGGTCTTGAACATATCTCCTGCAGATAAGGGGGGACTACTGTGTAAGGTATTGGCGTATGTGATTACAGAGACTAACTCTTGGGATCTGCTCCACAAGCTTGAGACCCAGCAAAGTTGGTGGCATAGTTTGAAGGCTGGAGAGCCAGGGAGCCAATGGTGTAGACTCCAGTCTGAGTCTGAAGGACTAAGGACAGGAGCTCTGAGGGCAGGAGAAGATCAATGTCTCAACTCAAAACAGGCAGACAGCAAATTCAACCTTCCTTTTGCCTTTTTGTTCCATTCAGTCCATCAGCAGAAGGGATGATGCCCTTTCATGCTGGGGCATGCCACCAGCTTTCCTCAGTCCACCAAATCAAGTGCACCCCTCTTCTGAACATACCTTCACAGACACAGCCAGAAGTAACAGTTAACCAGCCATCTGGGCATCCCATGTCCCAGTCAAGTTGACTCATAAAATTGTCACCCTTCAGGGCCGGGCGTGGTGGCTGATGCCTGTAATCCGAGCACTTTGGGAGGCTGAGGCAAGAGGATCACAAGGTTAGGAGTTTCAGACCAGCCTGGCCAACATAGTGAAACCCTGTCTCTACTAAAAATACAAAAAAAAAATTAGCTGGGCATGGTGGCAGGCACCTGTAATCCCAGCTACTTGGGAGGCTGAGGTCGGAGAATCGCTTGAACCCTGAAGGCAGAGGTTGTAGTGAGCCGAGATCACGCCACTGCACTCCAGCCCAGGCGATGGTGTGAGAATCTGTCTCAAAAAAAAAAAAAAAAAAAACACCCTTTTTAACCACAATTTTAGGTAAAAGAGATATCCCTTAGGGGAGACCAACTATGTTGACAGCTTTTTTTTTTTTTTTTTTTTTTTTCGAGATCAGGATCTCACTCTGTTGCCCAGGCTGGAGTGCAGTGGTGGGATCTCAGCTCACTGCATCCTCCACCTCCTGGGCTCAAGTGATACTCCCACCTCAGCCCCGCAAGTAGCTGGGACTACAAGTATTAGCTACCACACCCAGCTGATTTTATTTTATTTTATTTTATTTATGATGATGATTATTTTTTTTGTAGAGACAGGATTTCACCATGTTGCCCATACTGATCTCAAACTCCTGAGCTCAAGTGATCCAGCCACCTTGGCCTCCCAAAGTGCTAGGATTACGGGCATAAACCACACACCCGGCCTGAGCTGACGGCTCTTATGATATGGGGTAATGGCTTTTAGATCAAGGGGTCAAAAGTGATGAGACTGGTGACCCCCAATGTTGTTTTATTGGGGAAAAAATCCCAAAAGGTACAGGAGTGCCTCCATGCAGTTGCTGAAAGGACAGGTAACAATTAGACTGACAGTTTATGGGTGAGATATAGAGAATGCTAGCTGATGGTATAGCCCATCCAGGAGACAGGAGTGATGAGAACCCAAAGATTGCACCCTGATTTTAAGACTGTGATGGTAAACTGGTAAGTTTGATGAGGACTAAGGAATCATTAATGATCACCCCTCTGGATTCGTAGAGTTGTCTGATTCATTAGGTGTTAAGACAGAAGCATTGGTTGTCCTGTGAACTTTCCAACACAATTTAGGCTCTGTAGGAATGACTGTTTACTACTAGGATGTCTAGATATCCATTCAGACAGTGGATCATGCCCAGGCATCTTAACACAACACATTCCTATATCTTTTACTGCCTGCAGAGTATGAAGGCAAGAGAACCCTGAAACTCTATTCATAGACACTTGCAGCTTGTCTAATTCTATATGTCCTGAATACATTTATTGCCTGCATTAGTTTTCTATTGCTATATAACAAATTACCATAAACTTTGTGGCTTAAAACAACACAGATTATCTGATAGTTTCTATAAGTCAGAAGCCTGCACAGCATGGCTGAATTTTCTGCTCAGGGCCTCATCAAACTGAATGAAATCCCCCAGGTGTTGGTTGAGGCTGTGGTTCATGTGGAGCTGGGAGTCTTCTTCCAGGCTCACTGGTTGGTTGTAGAATTCATTTCCTTATAGATGTAGGACTAAGGTCTTATTTTCATGCTAGCTGTCAGCTGGGGACCACTCAGCTCCTAGAGGATGCCTGCAGTTTCTTGCCACATGGCTCCCATAGGTAACTCACAAAATACATGTTTGTTTTCTTCCAGGTCAGCTAGAATGTATCTCTCTGACTTTGCTTCTGCAACTAGCCAGAGAAAACTTTTTTTTTCTCCAAGCCCTTTAATATTCACTTAAACAGTTGAGGCACAAGCAGTAATAAAACTACATTTTTTTTTGAGAGAGTCTTGCTCTGTTGCCCAGGCTGGAGTGCAGTGGCACGATCTCCACTCGCTGCAAGCTCCGCCTCCTGGGTTCACACCATTCTCCTTCCTTAGCCTCCCGAGTAGCTGGACTACAGGCGCCTGCCACCACACCCAGCTAATTCTTTTGTATTTTTGGTAGAGACAGGGTTTCACCGTGTTAGCCAGAATGGTCTCAGTCTCCTGACTTTGTGATCTGCCCGCCTCGGCCTCCCAAAGTGCTGGGATTACAGGCATGAGCCACTGCACTGGGCCCTAAAACTGCATTTTTTGCATTACAAGAAGATTGTGTATGCTATGTGCATGATATACCAATTTTCTAATCTCTTCTGCAATGACATTTCATTAACACTCTGGTCCACAGGTTGATTTCATAAAGTCAGAATGGCAGGCAGGAAGTTGGTAAAATAAACTTACTGAGAGGCAAAAGGAACCAAACATTTACTGACTGCCTACTATGCACGCTCCACTAGGTTTTACACATGTTACATAAATGTGAACCTAAATTCTAGTTATCAGTTAACAGGCCAGCATTGCTATGGCCAGTAAGTCTATGTTTTAAATGTTCTTTCACCTTAAGTACGAATTGTGGAACAAAACAATGGA